CCAAGGTCCCAAGAGGAGAATGGAGGAGAAGATATTGCGGGTGGCCATCCTCACTGAGGAGTGATTTCTCACTTTTCCACTCTCTCTGGTCTCTCTCTGGCAAGTGTACCCACCCTATAGCAAAACTAAAAATAAATAAAGAGAAAAAGAGAACTGTAGGGAGGACTCTGACCCAGGATTGTATTCATTCATCATCTGGGCTGTTTCCTCTTGACCACAGCTCTCTTCCACGCAGTTCCCACCCCTAGTGTATTGATAGAAAAGGAACGGCTGATAAGGATGGGTCAGACTGCATTACTTCCTCTTCCCCATAGCATCCTTGCCCCACCTGCCTGCAGTCTGGGCACTTCTTTCATCGTTGGTTCATGCCTTGATTCATTCCGAGGCCTTCTACTCATTTCATAGTTTGGCATTACTTTTCTACTGCACTTTCCCAATTTTTTAAATCATTTTTAAGCATCTCAAGCAGTCAACTATATTGTATGCATATATAGACCTTGTTGATATGTTGGGTCGTCAGGAAAATCATGATGAAATTTTGCATAGAAAAAGAGAAGCATACATCATGATTTTCCTGACGACCTGGTGTATAGCATTAGCTGTCTACTTATCTATTCATAATTGTCAGAGGGCACGTGCACTTGTCAGAGAGAGACAGAGACATAGAGGGGGAGGGGAAATCACCCCCAAATAGGGCATACCCACATGCAATCTGTTCCCTATTTATCCATTCTGTCAGAAATTTGGGCACGCAAGGACACGTGTGAACTAAGGTGGAGGTAAGAAATGAAGGTCGTGAGAGTAGACAGCATTGAAAGTTCAACTCTGACCTTGACTTCTGGGTCACCTACTCCTGGTATAATTTTCAAGTTGCCGGGGGTGAGATTCATACCCCGGTCAGTGAGTGAGTATGGGTATGAATGAAAGATGAGTGTTAATTAAAATGTTGACTCCAGGAACATTTTTATCTTTGAAGCTCAATTGCCAATATTTCATTCTCTTATGGCATTTATTTATTTATTTATTTAAAGAGGTTTTTTGCCTTAGTGTACGGGCACTTGTGGAGAAGAGAGAGACAGAGACAGTGAGAGGGAAAGTGAGACATCACCCCCAGGGGGTTTGGCCATACCACAATCCCTTCTCCTCCACTTCCCTTGGGGTCTTGTGCCCATACACATGCCCAGTGTGAGTTTCAAGCCACTGGGTCTGTGATTCAAATCTTGGTTGGCCATGTGAGAGAGTCCAGCAACATTACCGCTATGCCATCTGCTGGTCCCATGGCTTGTATTCTTTCAGAGGAGAACTTAGTGGTAGACCTTATTTTTATGCTTTTTCCTTAGGTGAAGCACTTATTAGCCCTATCAGTTCAAGTCAACAAATATGTATTAAGCATTTACTGCTGTCACATTTTTCTAAGTCCTGAAGCTACAACAGTAAGAATAATAGCTTAAGCTTTCCCAGTGCTTCAGGTGAATTGTGGATGACTGATATTAAACATTTAATTAGAAGTATGATGAACATTATAGAAGTTCAGAGGAACATATAGCTAGGATAATTAAACTAAAGAAGAAGGAGCAGTTTTCTTTAGAAAGTGATAACTATTTTCCTAAATATGTTATTGTAAGTTTATTTATTTATTTTTAAACTTGCTATAGGGCACATGTGCTGTGTGTGCTCTAGAAAGACAGAGAGGGAGAGAAAGAGAAAATGAGAATGCACACCCTTCCAATGGGGGATGGCCACACCACAATCCCTTCTCCATTCTCCTTTCAGGATTTTTGGCACTCTTGCAACATATATCAGGGATGTCTCTCCAGCCGCTGGGTTCGGGACTCGAACCATGCTCTTGGCTATGTGGGATCCAGCTGTCATACCCACCACACCACTGGCTGGTCCAAAAAGGATAACTTGAAAGACGAAACTTTAATAAGTCAATATTGAGTAGGTTGAGAAATAGAAAGTGAGAGGAACAGAAAAATGTACAGGACCAGCATTGTGGTCTAGTGCTTAAGGAAGCCAGATCCCACATGGCCAACCATGGGTTCAAATCCAGCATGCATGGCTTAAAAAACACTCTGGGCACATATGTCTGCATGTGCAAAATTCTGACAGGATGGCAAGATGGAGGAGAAGGGATTATGGCATGACCATGCCTGCATTGGGGGTGCTTTCTCCCTCTTCCTCCCCTCACCCCCATCTTTCTCTGGTGAGTGCGTGCACTCTCTGGCAATAAATCTTTTTAAAAAAGTGTATAGGCAAAGGGAAAATTATATACAAATGCATAGAGTTGAGAAGTAGGTGCCACGTTGAGGGATACTGGGGGATATCAAGCATAGGTAGAGTGATGCTTAAACTATGTAAGGAGGGTTCTATAAGATTATGTGAGTTTTGGGGACCAGCAGGTGGCATGGTGGTTAAGGCACTGGACACTCCCACATGGCCGACCACAGTTTGAATACTAGACCTGGTGGCTTGCTTTTTCACTTTCCCTCTCTCTCTCTCTTTTTCTCTCTCTGTATCTCCCTCTGTCAAATTAAAATAAATGAATGGATAAATAAAATTAAATAAATAATTATTTTAAAAAAAGATTATGTGAGTTTTAATGTATTATTCTAAAAGAAGAGCCAAAATAAACAGTTTTCAGTAGCAGTGTGTGATGGACTTGAGTAGGTAACCTGATCAGCTTTCTATTTTAGGAAAATCTCTCTGGTTGCGAAGTAGAAGGATTTGGGAATGGAGCAAAGGATTCGTTGTGAGGAGGCCAGATTGAAAGCTCGTAGGAGCCGAGTTGGAAGATAATTGTGGCTTGGGCAAAGGTGACGGTATTGGTGATGGAGAGAAATACACAGATGTGAAAAGGGCTGAACATGTTAAATCAACAGGACTGGGCTTTTTTACATTTTATTTTATTTTATTTTAACTTACATTAAATCACATTTATCTTTACAGTGTACAGCATTGCTTTTTTTGAGTATATGCAAGAGAGAGAGAAGAGTCAAAGTAACTGATTTCTGAGTTGAGCAGCTAAATACATAATGGTACCATTTATTGAGGGAGGGAATAATGGCACAGGGTCAAGTTTAGGAGGGAAAGGGGGAAAAATCAGGAGGCTGGGTCTAACCATACCCAGGAAATAGAAGAAAGCATACGCGTTTTTAGTCTGTGAGACAGGACCGAGCTAACTGGTGATGCAGATTTGAACGTTGTTGGCCTATTGATAGGATACAAGCTCAGAGAGAAGAAGAAACTGCACATAGAAACTGTGCAGAAAGAGTCAAGAAAAAGGACAGGATCTGGAAGTTTGTTTCGCTTTAAGGATGGAGAAAAGGTAGATCCAGGAAAGGAGAAGGAGTAAAAGTACTTAGAAATGATAAAAAGGAAATCAGGGAAGTACAGCATCCTTGAAGCCGTGGAAAAGGTATTGTGCATCTCAAAAAGAGCAGGCAATGGCATCAAATGTTGCAGGCAGATCAAACAAGAAGAAGGCTGAAGACTGACTGTCCTTCAGATTTAATCACAAAAGGGCCTTGCATTTTCTTGGTGAGAGGAGTTTCCTCATACAGGTGGAAGTCACAGGGAGCTGGTTGAGAACTAAGGTGGAGGTAAGAAATGAAGGTCATGAAAGTAGAGTTAACTCCGACCTTGACTTCTGGGTCACCTACTCCAGAAGATACTCCTCGGTCCTTTATTTTTCTTTGAAAATTTAACCGTTGACCCAGCCATGGTGATGCAAGCAGGAAGACACTGCTGCTTGGTAGCTGAGGTCATCTGGGAGGGCCAGGTTCGGTTGTTGGCCCAGCCTAAATGGGCTGGGCATCATGATGTGTGTCTTGGTCCTAGCTAACTGAGAGAAAGGGTAGGAGGATCGTGGCACAATGAGACCCTCTCCAAAAATCTCTCTTTCTTTTTCTCCCCACTTTCAGTGCTCACTCTTTTTTTTTTTTTTCTCTCAAAGGAAAAAAAAAATGACCATTATATGCCTTGGTAAAGATGTTTATCTGTCCGCTTTGCTTGAAATATGGTTGGCTATCTCATTCTCAGAAATTAAAAATGGTTAGTTTATAAAAGTTTTTTCTTATTACATTTTTTAAAAGTTTGCTATAGGGAGGCTGGGTCTAACCATACCCAGGAAATATAGTAAAACATACGGGTTTGGAGAGAGACAGAGAGAGAGAGGAAAAGTAAGAAATCATCCCTCGGGGAGAATTGCCATGTTGCAATCCCTTCTCCTCCATTCCCTTCTTGGGACTTTGGGCACGCATGCACAATACCCAGCGTGTTTGTCATACCATCTAGTCCATTGAGTCCAGGACTCAAACCGTGAAGTGCTTTGTCTGGGATCCAGCCACTTTAACCACCGCACCACCTGCTGGCCCTCTTATTACAATTTTGCTTATTGCTTTGATCGATTTGCTCTTTTTCCTGCAGAAACATCCACACATGGGCTGAATCTTCATAATCCAATTTATCCACCAACTCCTCTAATCTATTCATTTTTATTTTCACTCAATATTGCTTTTTAAAAATTCCATTAGTGTTTTTCAAATTAATTCTTTGCATCAATTAATTAGTTTTTGGCAGCATTAATCTTTACTATTTTCTACACAGATTTATTTAATTGTTAATTTTTTTATATGGATTGATGGTTTATGTCAGATTGTTCTTATTCCATAGATGTATCCCTGGCATCCTGTTGAACATAAGAGCTGGATCTTTTCTGAACTATTCTTTTATTTCATGAAGTTTGATAGAAGATCATTTATCTAGGAGTCTAGATTTAAGAATGCATGATGGAATTGTTAGATACTTATTATATTCTTGTTTTCATTTTAAATATTGTTTACTTTAAGATTACTTATTAAAATAATTGAAGGAGGATTTCTTGAAGTGAGTGGTTTATGGCAAAAGTGAGAGCTGTAATGGATGAATAAAGAGCGCCTCCTCAGCGTCTCAGTGCTATTTTATAGTGTGTAAAAAAGCTCATAAATTTCATGGAACAGATGTCGTTTAGTACAGAACAGGAGATGGCTCAGGTATAGAGGCTGAAAGAGAAACCCAAAAGAGAACAGCTGAGGACAGATCTTCCTGTCAACACTATGGTACCAGCACTGGTTCATTCTTCAGTTTCTGTGCTGCTGTTACAACAATCCTGTCTCTTCAGATCAACAAGATTTTCTGGAAAATAAAAACTTCATTTAAAAAAGTAATTCATCACATTTATGTATGTGTTACTGTTAAAGGGAAGGAGTACAAAGCAAATGTTCTCTATGTATGAGAACTGGTAAGTAAAATACATTGCCTTATTATTAAGTATTTAGATATATGTCATTTTTTTTCATTTCCAAGTTAATCCAGATGTTTCTTTATGAGTGCAAACTGATGACTTATGCTTAATACATTCTTTAGTTTGTCTGCATGATGCATTAATGTTAGATACAACTCCTATGATATACGTCTTTAAAACCAATTTTTTTGTTGTTGTACCATAGACCCCACATTATGTTCTCAGCTCCTTTTCTTGTTTTTTTTTTTTTTTTTAAGTTTATTTATTCATTTCTTCCAAGAAAAAGAGGTAGAGCAACAAGCACCCATTCTCCACAGGGTCTTCATGCCTCAATCCATGCCCAGCTTCAGTCTCCCCAGATCACACCTGGCACGTACAGGAAGGTCTCATGATTTGAACATGGGACCTTCCTATTTGGGTTGGGCATTGCAGAACATTGTGTTACCAGTGTGCCAGCTATTGGTCCTGGCTTTTTCTCTTTTTATCATTGTGAATATTTGAGGTGAAGATGTGTAACTCTGGAAATATATTATCTTGTAAGAGGTCAGACTATGGCCATTCTGACTAAATAATCTTTCATTGAAAAGCTGTTTTACAGAAAAATCTTCTTTGAACCATATTTAGCACTTTAGTACTTTCTTTTTAAAAATTACTTATTTTATTTATTAATTTATTCATTTTAATATGATCAGAGAGAGACACAGAGAGAGAGCAAGAGTGAGAGCAAGAGCGAGAGTGAGAGCGAGAGAAAGTGAGAAAGCAAGCCACCAGGTCTGGGACTTGAACCATGGTTGGTCATGTGGGGGTGTCCAGGCAACCAGGCCACCAGGCCACCTGCTGGTACCCAATCCTTTCTTTTAAACTTCAGAAAGTTTTATGATCTCTCCTGATTTTTTACCTTAGCATCTCTTGGTGGACTCTGCCATTTTTAGTTGTGGCTAGGAAGAAGAAGAGCAACTTCCTGATGCTACGATAGCTGACATCACTAGCCAACATTCAGAAATCGTCAGACAAGTAAGTTCATCATCTTATTATCCAATATTTTCTTCATACACCAGAGTTTCTTAGCAAGAAAGGTGAGTCAACATAGGTAGTTTCATATTTGTAGAGTTGTAAGCAAAAGAATGGAAACAGATGACAGGATGATATAATACTAAGGTGCTCTCAAGAAAACAGGCTCAGTAGATCCCTTTTATCCACCTCCAATGGAGTTTATTATCTGTCAGCTACAGAAATTCCTCCTAAAGTGCACCACATTTCTCCTCTCCTTCCATTTCCGTTCTTTATCTGATCCATAGGCTCAAGTGTTTTTCTGATACATCTCTTTTTTTTTTAATAATAACATTTGTCTAATTCCAATTCAGAAATTCTTTCAATCATTGCAATTACATTATAAATAATCCCATATTACAATTACATTAAAAACAATTACATTATAAATAATCCCGTACATACTTCAACATTTACAGAACTTTATACAAAGTCCATTTTCTCTCTCTATAATATTTAACCAAACATGAATATCTTATTTCAGTGTTTTATTTGTTGTTCTTGATTTATATGGCCCATTAGACTCTACATTGATTTTCATTTCCTGCCTATGCTTTCTCGAATATACAATGATATATCCTGATCCAATGCTGGAGGGCAGTTAGTATTACTCCTAATCCTAAGGGTACAGATGCTGCGGTGGTACCTTTTCCCATCTCTAAGGTCAGCAGTGGTTTTGTGTGTAGTGTGTCTAGTCATTACAGGCATATAGCAGATGTTTAATAAAATTTCCCAAACATCCAAGCAATCTTGGCAAGATGAAAGACATTTGTAAGTAGAGTTGTATGTTAGAAAGTTAAAAAAACTCTGAGGTCAGTGACTTTTAAAGGATGATTGGGAGATTATTGCGGTTCTGACTCACAGAAGTCTGAAGGAAGTATTAAGGTAGAGAATATTCCCCCCTTGCCTCTTCAACTGCCTCATTCAGACATGGCCATGAATATTTTTGTTGTCAAAGATGGTGAAATGACTGGATCCATTATTTTGCAGACATGATAAATGTCTGTTACATGGCAGGCACTGTAGTAGTTCCTGTGCATACCAAAAGTGATTCCAGTGCATGGCCCATACGAATTTTTCTATCTGGTGGTTGAGTATAGAGTGGCGCAAAGAGCAGACATGTGAACAAGTGACTGTGGCCCATTGTGGTAAGAGCTCCGTTTAGGTCTGTATGATAAATGCCACGGGATACACGACTGTTCAGAGCACCATTATTCGTGATAGTCAAAAGGTGGAGAGAACCTGAATGTCCATCATCTGATGAAGGGAACAAAATGTAGTACATCCAAACAGTCTAAATCACTTGGCAATAAAGAGGAATGAGGTACTAATACATGGTACTACATCAATGAACCTTGAAAATATTATGCTAAATGAAAAAAAGCCAGTCACATAGTATTGGCAGGAGCTCAGGATACAGAGAGGGCAAGAGAGGGCGTTTAGGCAGAGAGAAGCTCATGGTCAGGGACTGGACCATATATTGTTTGATTTCATTTATGTGAAATGTCCAGAATAGACAAATCTATGGAAATGGGAGGTACACTGGTGGTTGCCTAGAGTTGAGGTTGGGGTAGTGGGAGAAAAGGAAAGGATATGATAGCTAAGAAAACAGAATTCTTCTGGGGGGTAATGAAAATGTTCTTAAATTAACTGTGGTGATGGATGTGGATGTGTAACTCTGAATATACTAAAAGCCATTGTGTTATACACTTTAAATGGGTGACTTGTGTGGTATATGTCTGACATCTCAGTTACACTGTAAAAAATACCATGAGAGGTACCGTAGGTGGCATGGTGTGGTTGAGGCACTGGATTTCCATATGACGGACTGCAGTTCAAGTCCTGGACCTGGCAGCTTGAAAATCATGCCAGGTGCATGTCTCAAATCCCATGAGAATAGAGGAGAAGAGATTGCAGTATGGCCACTTTCCCTCTGTCTCTCTCTGGTGAGTGCACATGTTCTATGGCAAAACTCTAAAAAATAAACAAACAAAACCCCCCAAAAACATGAAGAAAAAAGAAAATGCATGAATCACTCAATGTCATAGAGATAGGAACTAGCATGTACAGAACTTGTCATTGTCCTCAGGACAGGATTTAGGTAAGTGCCATGACCCCTGTTTCAGAGAGAGAAACTTGTAACAGGTCCTAGAGCAGAGCCAGGACATGATCCTAGTCTGGATGACTCTGGTCAACACTGTTTCTTACCACACTTCCTCACAAAGGAAGTGATGTGTAGGTCCTTCCTTAAAGTATTGGCAGGAGCTCATGAGGCTGAGAGGGGAAGAGGGGG